ATCTGCGAACAGCGCGGTGGGGAGGGCAGTAGGCATTGGGAAGGACCGACCTGGGTGGTGGCATCAGGCCTTGTGCATGGGGCCCCAGCTGCTGTCCCGGGCCCTGCCCACCTGCGCTCATGACGCCCTGCACACCCGTGTCCCGGAGGCAGCGCTCCACATCCTGCAGGCACTGGATGTTCCCATTAGCAAACACAGGGATGGCCACAGCCTTCCTGTTGACAGAGAAACACCTGTCCCTCCACCTGCCCAGCACACCACCAGGCCCCGGACAGCCCCGACTCCATCCTGGCAGGGAGCTTCTGCTCCCAGGCGATGCTGCCCCCAGCCACGGCCCTAGCCCCCTCAGTGGTCATGGGCGTCAGGTGAGCCGAGCACCCTGCGGTGTGGAGCTTGGACCCTCTAGCAAAGCCCCAAGGACTAAGGGCTGTGTCACCCACCGCCCACATCCACTCACCGCACGGCCTTGATGTGCTCCCAGGATGCTGCACCTGACAGGGGCCCTTTCTGCTCCTTGGTGCGCCCGTGCACCGTCAGCAACTAGGACAGACCAGCCGTCGCTTGACCCCTCCAAGCCCCCTCCACCCCTCAGAGCCCCTTCCGCCCCTCCGCCCCTCCAAGCCCCCTCCACCCCGCGGAGCCCCCTCTGCCCCTCCATGCCCCGAGCTCTGAGCCACCAGCTCCAGGCAGGGCTGTGGCCACAGATGGCCTCACCTCTGAGAACCCAGCAGAAGCTGGGGTCAAGCTACTGACCCATGGGCAACTCCAGGATCAGAGGAGCTCAGAGAAGTATCTTATGGAAGAAAAGATTTAAAATCCCGGTGTCCACTGAGGGAGGACACAGCTGAGTCACCAGCACCCGCCACCTAGGACACCGAGGGGCACATGGCAGGTGTGTGCTGCTTGGAGCTGAAGCCTCCCTCCTCCTTTCCCTCGGGCAGGAGCTGACTGGCCATAATGGTTGAGGACAAGCGGCGCAGGCGCAGCACTGTGGGCACAGGGTAGAGCCCACACCTTGGCACACATCACTGCCCAGGGCTGGCT